AAGCCACTATGACAAGTGTAGAGCACCTACTTTTTTTATCTGATTCTACATGGCCCATAGGGCTACAAGTGAAAAGCAGCATTGGGGAATGCCTAAAATGGACAAAGCCTATGGAAAGTTTTCATATAAAACAACATGCCGATTAAATCGTCACCCATGTGGCTAGGTAATAAATTCCTTAACCATCCACCAACTTGTTTGTGCCGTGCTAGTGCTATATATATTGTACAAACAAGGTTGTTGTGCTCGTAGAGTTGTATTACCCGGTCATATGTACCAACTCTATTAGGTATTATGTATAGCTAACACATTTGAAGGACTGAGAACGGCGACAAGGGGTTGAATGGGAGCCTAAATTTTTCTTGCGAAAACTTAAGTCACTGTCCTAAATTCACCCCTAAAAGCAAAGCACGCGCAAACCCAAATCCATGCAGGCTAACTGGTAGCGGGATGGATCAAGCAACTCTCAAGAAACATGACCGAGCAGACCGGAAAAGAACAGAGCAAAATAGCAGCTTCCCAGGCAGCACCGGTTGCCTCGGTGTTGAGCACCGGTCACCACACCAGACAACACTGGTGCTCCTCAACTAAAATAGACGAGAGCGCAACTCTCTGTGAGCCGAGACCGGTGTACCCTAACCGGTGCACAACAGTTACCACAGTGCGAGCGACTGCTGCAGCTGCTGGCGAGGGTCTGCTCTATGCCAACACAGCACACACCGATCACCACTGGTGCTCTGCCCGGTGCACCCAACAGGTGCACACCGGTCTTAGCGGTGCAAAGGGAAGAACCTCAGAACGCACCGGTGGTCATCTGTGCCATGACTGGTGCCCTCGACTAAGGACTGGTGCTCCTAAAAATAGTCGTCCAAGATTCAAAATCAAAAGATTTTTCACCAAATCAAAACCAACTTCCATGAGATTTGAACCAGATGGTCACAAGGAAGATGGTGAGCTATCTCTAAGAGATAATCGCCGAAGACTTAGCCAATCAACTTGAATTTTAGGTCTTGAGTAAAAACTCGGTTTTTCTCCTAAAAACAAAATTCGTCCTGATCTATGAGCTCGTGTGGATTTAGATGAAATCACTTGGAGAATAAGATCAACACACGTCCTTGTTCATCTCAGATCAAGCGGAACCACCCCAAACCTTCTCAAACAAAAGATCGAAGCAAATTGAGAAGAGGGGAAACCTCGAGAAGAAGAACACCAAAACGAAAATCATAACATGAACTCAGATCATTGAACCACGAGGACAACTGGAGGTTAAGGACACCATTCCCACTTAGATCAGGTCTACAAGGTTTGATTTCATAGATGAATGATTTGGCTAAATCATCTGTGGATTACTACAACAGTCTAAAGACAGGAAAACCCTAACAAGGATGAAGGAAATGACTGATTAGAGAGATAAGGTTGATTGGGGGAGCCCTCCTCTTATTTATAGAGGCTATTACCCAATATACCCTCCTTAGATAATTAGAGCGAACCACCTCAACCGAAGCGTATTATGGTCCAACTCAGAGATCCGCTGATCCGACGGCTATGCGCCCTTCATAACTTAGCTTCGCCTCGACACAAGCCTCATGATGACGCCACGTGCCGCCTCTAATTCACTTCGGAACCGTACCCGGGTTTTGAGGCCCAAACCCGAAAACCGTTCACCGGTGGTTATGAAGTCGAAAGCACAAAACACTCGCGGCTAATGTACTCCATATGCTCGTCCCATGAACTCGACATGTGTCACCGTCATCCTCAACCGCCCGACTGTCAAATCTTCTAACGTCTACTTGACTTGCCTGACCGTCGTCTTGACTTGGTCAACACGGTCCACTCCTCATGTACTCTTGCACTTGTCGATGCCTCCTAGGTGTCAGTCACCCATGGTCAGTCACCCGTCTTCTCCCGTCCCTCGGTCCAAGCCTCGGCATCCGTCCTTCACTGCTCCCAGTCCATCGGCACGATCGTTCACACGTTAGTATGAGGCATAAGTTGCTATTGGCAAAGACAACAAAACCATTACCACGGAACTACTGTGCACAGTCCAAGCGTACCACAGGAGTCTTTGAAATTATCAAACACAATTCCGCACTAATAAGATAACATATTATTGTCCATTATGGTCCTTCAAAGGACAAGATCGACAAGTAAACTAAACATAAAACCTACAATTCTGTTATTTATCAATCGACTATAAAATGCATGTGATTTCATCTTAAATTTGCATAGCAAATATAAGGACTATAATTATGTTATTAATCAATTGACTATTAGATGCATGAAGAACACCAAAATGAAAATCAAAATATGAACTCAGATCATTGAACCATGAGGACAACAGGAGTTAAGACCTCTATTCCAACTTAGATTAGGTCTACAAGGTTTGATTTACACAGATGAATGATTTGGCTAAATCATCTGTGGATCACTATAGCAGTCTAGAGACAGAAAACCAACTGAAGAGATAAGGCTGATTGGGGAAGCCCTCCTCTTATTTATAGAGGCTATTACACATTCCCAATATACCACTAGGTAATTAGAGCGAACCACCTAACCCCAAGGGTATTATGGTGCAACTCAGAGATCCGCTGATCCGACAGCTGTGTGCCCTTCATAACTTAATTTCGTTTCGACGCAAGCCTCGCAATGACGCCACATACCGCCTCGATTCCCTCCGGAACCGCAACCCGGAGTTTGAGGCCCAAACCCGATAACTGGCCCACCGATGGTTTTAAGGCCCCAAACCACCAAACCACTTTCGCGGATAACGTACTCCATACGCTTGCCCACGAACTCAACACGTGTCACCGTTGTCCTTGACCGTCCAAATTGACCCTTCACCTTCGCCGTCGACCATCATCTCCAATCTCCACACCTGCTTTTCTACAAGCCAAGAGACATGTTGCACAATCCAAACTTGCGCCTCGGTTAGTTCAACAACTCAACCCAAAGCGCTACTCACGTTGATAATCACTCATCAGAAACCAAACCACATGGGTACATATCGACCATGTGTTTGCAACATTGTTGTACCAACTCGGTTATAAGGATCTTAAAAGCCAAAAAAAATCCTGCTTTACTATTAGGAATTGCGTATAGCTAACACATTGTTGTACTACCACGTGTACCAACTCTTGTACAACTCTCTTATATGGCTATATATTTGAAAGATACCCCACAATGGATGTGGGGTGTTACTCATACCATTATCTCCGCTTGTTTTACATTTATCTTCATAAAAGTATCCTAAATGTGAGTCTCCACTTTTCCACTCCACCTGAGATAAAAGATTTAACGCCTAAGCATTTTTGCTATGCTGGATCAACTGTTGTCATATACTCGTATCCCAACGGGAAAATAGCTTTGTTAGCTGAACATGGCCTTTTTCAAAGCTTAATATCTTTCAATGCTTCAGAGTATACGCAGCTACTGATCAACGCCCTGTTCGCTTAGGCTTGTTTGGCTGATAAGCCATGGCTGAAAGTATTGTTGGCTGATTTGGTGTGAGAGAAAAATACTATTCATTGACTGAAAAAGTATGATTTATAAACCAAACAAGCCCAAGCGAACAGGTGCAAGCTCAAAGTTCTTCAATGAAACAAAGACAGCTAACTGACAATTAACGCGTTTCTCAAGGTTCATGCATCAACCAAAAGGTAAACAAAATGCTTGATAGAAGCGACAAAGTTACACTGAACTGTACAATGAACTTTGAGAGGAACCATGTCTGTTGTGGTGATTAGCAGCTAAATACCTGGTTTTCTCCTTCTGGGGAATTGGGTTAGCATTATATTAAGGGAAAGCAACGTTGTGATAACGTGGAGTACTGACTTCCCCACATGATGCTCTGGTCCTTTTAAACTACGAACAAGCGAAAAAAGAGATCCAGATGCTTTCCCTCCTGTGCAGCAACAGATAAATACAATCATCTAGTACTGTTCCAAATAAGACAAGTATATATGTGCTGCAATGACCAGTGCAAGATTCGTACCAAGATCAGAGGGAAACATCGCACATTTCATATTAGTAACCTTAATTTTTGAGTTAACAAATTACAGATTTCGGACGCTTCTGAACAGCTAAAATAGCTAAAAAAATTCAGTATTTTATAAGCGGAGTATATTTTAAAAGTGGTTGAGAATATCTTTCCGCATAGAAAGGAGAATATTTTAAAAGCGGTTTCAGAATATCTTTTTTGCACAGAAACTTTTCACACAGAGTCAAAGCTTTGTGAGTTCTGTGATAAATGTAGACAACTAAAATATCCTATGAATTCTGAATTGCATTTTAACCTTTTTGTATGGAGGGGGTGAATCCATTTACATAATAATTTTTTTTATGAAAATGGAATTACAAGTTTAGCATAAGTCTAAAAGGCAAAACAATTCCATGGTGAAATAGTTCATATTCATATTCCAGTGACGCCGAATCACATATATTTGACATTTCTAGCTTATTCCTGATTGAAATGTGCTTCTTCTCATTGCTAGTATTGCTAAAGAGTGCTACAGTGAATCTTCTTGTAAAAGATCATGAATCTCGTACTTTATGTGTAAAAACAACTTTCATTGTTTTTCCTAGCAACATATTTTATTCCATCTCATTTATTAATTTCTGATATATGTGCTATTCTGAACAGTAACAGTAGTACAGGACAAGAAACAGTAACAGCCATACCAGTGTGTCAAAGTGGTTCTTTAATTGGATTATTGCAACTACAGTATAGACTTTAATTAAAGGTATATACATGAAACCTTTTGCATGCAGACTGCTAGTAATTTCACCAAAATAATACAAAGTAGTGAGACCTCCATCCTGGCAATGCCGTTCAAAAAAGCAAGCAGACCAGGGTTGATGCTAGACATGATCAAGCCCGAAACCTAAACCAGGAAGTACCTAAACATCAAGACACCACTTTAATCTTTTGATCTATGAAGTACAGAGCACGCAAGAACAGCTTGATCAAGGACTGGGGAGACAAGGCGAGCAAAGCCATCGCATTATGAAATCAGGATGGAGTCCCAGTCGATCTCCACGGAGGGGTAATTGCGCAGGTGGAAGCTCTCGGACTCGTCCCATGGCGCTTCTGAGAAGTCGAGCAGTTGCATCTCCGGCACCACGTCGGAGGACCCAGTCGAGGACACGTCGCCGTCTGCGTAAAACGAGCTCTCGGAGCCGGAGCAGCCCGGCTCGCTCTTGACGTGTGGGCTCGCCGAGGAGGAGCTCGGGATAGTTGTCGCCGGCGCCGCCGTGGAGTTGCTCTGGCTCTGGCTCTGCGGCAGCGGCACGACGACGTCCGTCGTGCCGTTGCAGATGGCGTGGAGCTTGGCGTCGACCGCGGCGTGGAGCGGCGGGCCGAGGTGCTGGCCGCCGCGCCTGAGCTCGGGGAAGTTGAGCCTGGCGGAGTCCCCGCGGAGGCGGAAAGCGGCGCTGTCGTAGGCGAGCGCGGCCTCCTCGGCGGTGTCGAAGGTGCCGAGCCAGAGGCGGGTGCGGTTGCGCGGCAGGCGGATCTCCGCCACCCACTTCCCCCAATGCCGCTGCCGGACGCCGCGGTACAGCTTGGACACCGCGGGCCGTGCGGGGAGCGGCGCCGGCGCCTGCGCCTGCGGCACGCCCTGCCGCTTCATCTGCTGCGTGGCCACCGCGGCCAGCGTGGTGCCGCTCGCCGCCGGCCGGAGCAGGAACTGGAGCCGCGACTGCACCTGGAGAATCTGTGCCGGGGTCAGCAGGCCACTACCCCCGCCGGCGCCCAGAAACGGGCCCGCCGTGCTCTGCTGCTCCACGCCGGAGCAGGGGTACGCGAACGAGATGGTCGGGGCCACCTGTTGCATGGGCGGAGCAAGCGCGCGCACCAGCTCCTTGCTGTCCGCCACGCCATACAAGGCGGCGGGAAGCGCGTCGTTGCGCCCCTGCCAATCTATCGTCGTAGCCGCCATGGATTCTTGCACGAGACAGAAGAGAGGGAAGGAGAGAATCTAGAGAGGGAGATCTCGAGAGCGAGCGTAAACAATTCGCGGGTCGCAGCGCAGAGATTGAAGGGTGAAGCGAGCAGTTCGATGAGCAAGAGCAGCCGTTGCGGGGGCTCTTTTATAAGCGAGGAGGGAGTTGATTTCGGCCAATGGGACAGCGCCAGGTGTCCGCGCTCGTCCCCCGCCCGACACGTGTCTAGTGCCCTGTTCACTGATAAGTCAGAGCTGTTGATTAATTTATTAGGAGAGAAAAATAATATTTATTGATCGAGAAAATCCGACTTAGATCATTCACCGCGCGAGACATGCGTGCCCAGGCAGGTGCCGGTAAACGGTGGGTACCTGGCAGCCCCCGGTTGGCTGAGAAGCGGTCTGACCTGGTAAGATGAAAGAGATCTACTCGTACTCCTAGCTGTCACATGCCTGTCGGAGCGAGTGAGTCGTCGGGTTCGCGTACTAATTAAAAAAATAAATTATAGAATCAGTTAGTAATCTATGAGATAAATTTATTAAATCTAATAAATTCAGTATTAGCATATGTATTACTGTAGCATCATATTGTCAAATCGTGGACTAATTAGATTTAAAAATTTATTTCTTAAATTAGTCGTAAACTGTACAATTAATTATTTTTTTAGTTTATATTTAATATTCAACATTCGATAGAACAGAGTAAATAAACGTGGCCGAGCGTGCTCTACGCGGCAACTTGTATGCTACGGTCTCTGAGCTGAGGAGTTTTAAGTATCTCGACGCCTGGATTTTTAAACAAGTCTTTTTTCAGCCAATCATCTCTCGGATCCGTTGTGGATTTACACTAGTTTATTAATGGGAGGGCACGGCGTATCATCTTGTACAAGAATACTGCTCCCTCAGTTCTAAATTATAACTCGTTTTGACTTTTTTATACATTTATTTTATTATGTATCTCTTGTTCTAAATTATAAATCGCTTTAACTTTTCTGATACATTCACTTTGCTATGTATTATTTAGATACATGGCAAAATGAATATACGAAAAAAGACAAAACGACTTATAATTTAGAACCGAAGAAGTACAATATACTGAATACAACAAGGCTTGCACACTCACCGCACACAGTATAGTAGTACTATACTAGTAGTAGTCTAGGAGTACTCTAGATACGATGTGGTTTAAAGGCAGCCCGAACCCGCCTGATTTGATGCGATAGGGTCATTCTTTTACGATCTTTTTGGTAAGGGCCATTCCGCGATCATGGCCGTGCTCCGGTCACAGTTGATTAGGACGCTGGAGCGGTCTTCTCCGGTCACAGTTTCTGTTCCGGACGAAAGAACGACGCGAAACAACCAACATCCACCAGTGAGAGTGAGTGAGAGAGGCTCGATTGTTGACCAGACAAATAACGGTGGTCGTCACCACATTGCACAGATCCTTTCCCCTTCCTTCCCTCCCTCGGTGCTGCACTGCTGCTGCTGTTCACTTCAGTCAACAACCCCTCGGTGTGTGCTGGTATCCCAAGGGCCAAGGCTGACACGGCCTCTCAAGGAGCAGAGCACGAGCGAGTGCAGCCGCGTTTCGGCGCGGAGAGAAAAGCGGCTTTTGCGTGACTGACCGGCGATGATGGACAGGGACAGGGACAGGGACAGCGCGCGTGTTCTGGCCGCCGCTGCCATCTTCCTCCTTTCCGATCGATCGACGCCGAGAGAGAGTGGAAATGGAAAGCGGGCAGGGGCAGGCGCGGAGAGGGTTGAAGGCGTCTGCAGCGAGCCAGCCACAGAATCCGCGGGGAATATTGACGTGTCGGACCCTCGGCGGGGAGGGTACAGCCCGAAAGAAAAAAAAAACATCCAGTCGTGAGGGGCTTACACTCTCGGTGGGTCTAGAGGTGCCTAACCACAACATCAGCCAGTGGCTGCGAGGGGGTTAGCTTGGCTTGTCTGCGTCTTCAAGCCCCGAATCAAATCTGGCTCCTGTGGTACGATACGATACGATAGGATGGGATGGACAGAGCAGGCACGATACCCTCGACAGTCGACACAATGCAAGACATTCCAGAACACGAGAGATCTTGAGAAGGACTAAAGAAAACGTTTCCGAGCAGACAGGATACCGTTTCCGTGTGGTTTGTTGCAAGGCTACAGCCTACAGGCATGGTAGCCTCGGCAGCACGGCTCATACAGTGCGTGACCTCCCACACAAGACCACGGAGGGAGACACGGAAACATCACCAAATAGTGAAGTGATGCGCCTAGAGAAACGTCTCGACGCACACTGTGGATCTCGCGTGGTATGTAGAAAGCCTGGATGAACAGGTACGATAGTAGCCTGAACAGCAGTACACATGAGCTTCAATCACGACCCGAGCCGAGAGATTCGCCAGGCAGTTCAGTGATAAGCTTTTTAGAAAAGGATTATATTAAAGCAACGTCTCGAAGCAAGCAGCAGAGGACCCCACCAACTAAACCACTTCGTTCGTGGCCTCTTTCCAGGAATTAGAAATCACGGTCTAACACTTAGGCCACGGCTAGAACAAGGCCCACTAAGCAACCATCATCTCCTTTCCCCTAATAATAAGAAAAGAATGTGCAAGAACAGAAGCAGAAAGGTGAGCGGTCTGCAACACTTATCAGTTTATTAGTGCCTTGTGCATCCACAAAACGGTCATACAAAGCTGGGTCTGTGTGCTCTAACATCGTATGGTTGCCGTGGAGATAAGTTCTAAAGTATGGGTTAAGAACTATTACGTGCGGATGATAACATTTTAAATGAACTCGTGGCTGCAGCTCCTCAACAAAGATTAGTGGCCATTACGCTGCCCCAAGGGGGGGAAATTAGGACCTAATGACGCAGCAGCCAAACTGGCAACAGGCTAATCATGCACTGCACGTCTGCACGAAATGGTTAGGTCTTCATGCCCTATCAGGAAACATGTGACAAATTTGGTGATGGCATGCAGCTCAGCAACACCTTAGACGATATAACTAAAGTAGTCAACACACTACAAGTAGCATGATAAAAGTTCAGGAGCAAACTGAGTAGTGTGACAAAAAGGACAATTGACCTCCCACCACTTTGCGCATCATTCACTACCGTAGAAACAAGAAAGGAGTCACAAATGGTCCCACATATAGAACCTCAAAAGGCTCAAACTAAAACAACTGTTCGACTACAAAATATAAGTGGTCCAGAGGTAAAGGTTGGACATTTTCCGGTTCATCACCACATGCCGCTCTAGTAAAACAGCCCTCACCCAGCGCCACACCCCCCACACACACACACACACACACACACACACACATGATATTATTATTTCACATGTGAAAATTATGACCAAGAAAAAATATTCAAGGCAAGGAAACACGGTTCCTAATATAGACATAGAAATACAGTTTCTAAAGACTCTAAGACAGACAATCAGACAAGAGTAGTCTTTGGCAAAGAGGTTTGTCAGAAAAGGACATATAACCTTTTAGCTGAAGAGTGCAAAATGTTTATATACTCTGCATCTAGGATAAGGTTTATAAAAAAAAACTAAGGATAAGGAGTAAGAAACTCAAGATAATTCATAAGACTACGCTGCAACAACCATGACAGGGAGTTCTCACTCTCAATAAGCAAGCAATTTTTCAAGGTTCAGGCCACCATATAAATATGGCAATCCATTATCCTTTAGCTACCAAGTTTTAGTGATTGTGAGTGGATGCCATGAATGTGTTTTTCATCAACAGTAAATTATTCACTTATTCGGACTGATCAGGTCAATATTTGGCTGGAACCAAATTATTTATCTGTGTGCATATTATCTGCCATTTCAATTTGATTAAGTAATGACTCATAGTGAAATGATTCAAGTCAATCAAGCCTTCAAGGACAGAAATGTTCGTATTTTAAAAAAAATCTGAAAAATATATTAGCCTAAAAGCACCTAAATAATGGAAGACGACATGTAGATTTTAAATATTTTTCTTACTGAATAAAACTGGCAGAAACTACATGAATAAACAGGATAGTCATCATTCTCAAAGGTCAATCATCAAAAACATAGAAGGAAACCACGAACATGGTTGAGGATAATAGAAATGGGACAGGAGACGCACAATTCATCCATAAGCTTGTAGACAGATGATGATTCCTCACTTTAAGAAACAGTATATTAATATGCTGATGTGCTCTGATTCTATGCATGTCATTTCAATGTTGCACATTTCAGTTATCATAGTAGAAAATATACATTCTTGAATAAAATGTCAAAGCTACCAGATTCAGCATATCTAATTTCAACAATGTCATCACCTAATAAACAAATACATTAGTTATATTGGGCTGCAAAAGAAGTGAAACGTTGCAACAGCACATACTGTGATTTCAACAAGGGAGAAAACATTGTCCAAGATGGCCATGCGGTTGAGATTATCTTTCTGCTGCATAATGGGCAAGCTTCAATCTTACCTCTTCAAGCTCAACATCTTCCATATCATCAGTGCTTGACCATGAAGATAAGCAGAAATCAACAACATGAATACCATTGTTTATTGGAGAAAACCAGCAAAATTGGTAAGTCGTCCAAACTTAAGCATGTTTCCTAGATTTGTGGCAGACGGTTCCTCTGCAAACTTCAGCAGGATGTCTTTCATAGCAGAAGACCAGATAGACCTAGCCATCTTCAAAAAGCAGCACAAAGTTGTAATAGCGAGCTTAACTGTTCCAACGTCAGATTCATCTTTTCCGCCTCTTCCATGGAAATCTGAACCTCCAAGTTTCAGAAGTCCATACTTCTCAGCTAACTCGCTAAATCCTGTAAAAAGAAATTATGTAATGTTATTTAAATATATCATAATGAGTAACGATAAAAATATCCTCTGTTGATAGGACCAATATATTGCTAACAGACAGAGTAAAAGTTTCGTTTGTGGCAGGAGTTCTCCACTCTATCTCAAGTCAGCATGTATTAAGTGTAAGAGACACACACCATCAACTTTTCCAT